CACAGTCAGTCGGTAAAGATTGAAGAGGTGGCTGTTTTTTCAAATGCATAGACCACAACAGAACGAGACAGGGAAGCATGGCTCAATGAAAGGAACGGAATAAATCTCCAGAAACAAAGTTATAATAATATATGTATTGGTGAGGTTTTAAAGGATAATTAAGTAGGAAAATAAATGTGGAAAACACTTTGAAATTTATGAAAATCAGGTGAGTGAAATGTAATTCTATTATGTGATTACTGGCTCATTTGCCTTCCTCCCTATAAAAACGCTGATCTTGGTCCTTGAAGGCACGCCATTATAAAGATTTATTTCATCAAAAAGAGAGAGAAAATAACTTATTAAAGCCAGATGCTTATAAAGGTGAGTGATGTAACAATAAATAATGGGCAACTTCTGCGTTGAAAAAATACTAAATAAGCACAAAAATGCTCAACCAGCAGTGAATCTTAATGAAGCGAAAGTGGATTGCCTCTGTGGGGCAGAAAGAAGAGAATTAGGTCATATATTGAGCTCTGTTTGTTGGCTTCCAAAAGCAATGTAGCAAAAATGACCAGTCTCCACCTCCAGATGGTCTCCACCTGCCGTGACCTTCAAATTGTTTGCACGATCCTAGGTGCTAAATCTGGGTGGTGCTGAGGAGTGGGATCATCGAAATCACGTTTCCTCCAGCAGTGCCCCGAAACCCCAGGTCTTGTTCTCCTGTCCACAACCAAACACATCTCCATTCAGAGTCTAAGAATCAGATATTTCAACCCCCAGAATGGGATGGAGTAGGAGTATGGGATAAGGGGATAACATCAGCAAACAAAGCCAACATTCTTTAAGCACTTAAATGCTTTACTTGAATTACCTCTTTATTCTTCACAGCAACCCTATTTTATAGGTCTTCTTTCCTCAGTCCAGAGAGATCACTTAAAGTTTAGAGAGAAAAATTACTTGCTCAAGATGGCACCTCTAAAAAAGGACTCAACTGCAGTTTAAAACACATCTATCCCAAAGTTTAGGCTTTTACCACTACTCTGAGCTACCTCCAAGACAATCTAGGGCTCTTCTTCTTCTTCTTCTTCTTCTTCTTCTTCTTCTATTTTTTTTTTAAACTAGAGCTCTTCTTCTAACACCCAAGGGACATGGGGATTCTTCAGAGATTTTAGTACCTCTTAAGATTGTGAGGCACAGAGAGTGAAGTGATCGAGATCTTATGTAGGAACAGGCAATGGAATGGGTGGAACAATGATACTAGCTGTCAGGTATACTGTCTCCTGAAAACGTTGCTATCATCTAAAAATAATAGAGAATTCAGTATATGAGGAGCCTTTTCAAAATTTAAGTCAAATAAGTGAGACGCAGAAGTGTCTGAATGTGGTAGGAGCTAAATGAGGGTCAGAGAATATTAACTTTGATAATTCTGAATAAAACTTGAATAATAACTTGTATGTGTATTCTACAAATACAAAGGGCTACGAAGGGCAGAGGTAGCATTTGGGAATCCATGGCCAAAGGAAATAAGAGAGGAAAGGTCTTAGAACACGAAACTGGATTAAAACCAATAATAATTTCTTCCCTCTGTCTGTTTCAATTCATTCAAATGATGTAAAACCAACTATAAGATGAGGAAGAGTGTTTTCAACAACCATTCAGATCTCTCCTTAAAAGAAAGTTCTAGGGCTTTCTTCTTGACCAGGATTCTTGGTATGGCTTATGTTTCATGCAAAAAAAAAAATCTACAACAAAAATATAGCTATCTCCAAGGAGCCTAACTGAAACTTGTAAGTCACTTTGGGATTATATTTTAAAACAAAGTTTTTTTCCATAAAGATACTATTCTGCTTTTATAGAGTAAATTAAAACTAAATTCGTTTTTATTCAAGAATTCTATTTTTCCATACAGTGTACATTGCTTTTAGTTGGGGTTTAGAGAAGCAATGATTAATCACTTGTCCCTAGGTACTTAAAAAAGGCAGTTACCAGTTATACGGGGCTAGATGAAAGATGGAAGTTACAACATGTTAACCTCGAGGGGTGCCAAGGTCAGAGGATCACACCACAAACTCCTCTTTTTTATCTTACGATGGCCACTGCCACCATGAACACGGCTCTCCTGCCTTATGTTTTCCTCTCATTTGCCACGGCAAATTTTCTCAGGCGGCAATGTCCACTTAGCCAGAAGGACGTCCAACAAGTAACCCCAGGTCCACAGGGGTCCACTGGCAGTTCTAAGGCAGGGCAAAGGGACAGAGAGCTGGGAGAGGCCAGGACAGAAATAACAAGAGCAGGAACAGAAGAGGATGAGAAGGAAGAACGGGAGGGAGGCATAAAGGAAAAGGAGAAGAAGAGGTGATAGAAGTAAGAAAAGAGGGAAGACGTATCGAAAGGAGACGGTCTGCAGAGAAGAATTCTATGCAAAGGAGAAAAGTGGACCAGGGGCCCCCGCAGGCAAATCAGGACAGCTTTGTGCCATGAGTTGCCTCCTCTCACTCTGAGTCTTTCTCCCCCCACGGAGGAAGCAGAGCAACAACCCCTCTGTGCCATTACCTGGATGAGCTCGTCCAGCTCAGTCGAGTTGACACAGGAGTGCTGGGAAATGAAGGTTTGCTTCTGGATCACGATGGTGGTCCTCTGGGAAATCTCGTGAGGCTGCTCCAATGCTTTGAACACGGTGGCTCCGATGATCAGGTAGAGGACAACCACCAGGAAAATCGTGGAGACCGTCTTCCATTTCATAACATTAATGGTCGTGTCACTCTCCACCCGGGAAGCAAGCACGGTGGGTTTCGTGGAAAACGAGAGCCTGGGCTTGGAGTTCTGAGCGGCAGATTTTGGATCCAGCAAGTCAGGTGCCGCCACTGATAAGAGAGAAGGAGAGTTAGGCTGGAGGAGGTCGGTGGGGTGACGGCTGGGCTTGTCTAAGGGGTGGCAAAAGCTGACGGAATTCTGCTCTCCTGGTGGAAGCTCTGGAACCAGGAAGGCACCCAGGAGCATATAAATGGGTTCAAGGGGAAGGGGCTGGGCCTTCGCTCTCTGCTGCTATTGGGGATCCAGATGGGAGGGGGAAGAAAAACAAACAGGAGTTGGACCGAGACACTTAAAAAAAATAAAAGCATGCCTGCCCAGCTAGTGTGGCTCAGTGGTTGAGCATCGACCTATGAACCAGGAGGTCACGGTTCAATTCCCGGTCAGGGCACATGCCTGGGCTGCTGGCTCGTTGCCCAGTGGAGGGCGTGCAGGAGGCAGCCAATCAATGATTCCCTCTAATTGTTGATGTTTCTATCTCTCTGTCCCTCTCCCTTCCTCTCTGACATGTCTGAGGTCTCCCTAACTAATTTCAAAATTTGTATCTGTCCACCATGAGTCAACAAAGACTTACTGAACTGCTAAGAGTTGCTGATGCTAAAGTAGATATTTGAATACTCATGAAGAAGGTTCCTGGATACTCCCCTTCTCTAGCACGTAACACTCTATACCACAGCAATCAACGTAAATAACGTTCTCTACGTTTGCCTTAAAAAATTCATTGTAATAAAGGAATTGTATTATAAGTGAATTTATGACCCAGACGCTATTGCTCAAAGTAAAACATTAGTAATTTTCTGGTAATACATGATGATGGTAAATAAACCACAGTAGCCCAATCATTTCTTTTTGCTTAAGCATTCTCTATGCTTTGTTATTCAATCTCTGACATGTGTATAAAAACAAGAATATCGCTACCCATTGTGGCAAAATCCTTGGTGCAGCCAAGACATGACAAGTTCCTTCCATTTCAACAGTGAACATTATCAAGAAAAAGTTTAAAACCTTGTCTCACACCTTGGACCCTACATGCTCTGTACAAAGCTAATTGCTCCATTAGCATGAATTTCTGTGTTCCCTTACAAATTCCCATATACTCTGAGGTGACTCTAAATCCATTTATTATTCATCTGAGCTGTTCAAAAATATCATTAATGGATTCCTTTTTGGCTAATACAAGAGATACTAGCCTTCTACTTGCTAAGGGGGAAATAAGCCATCTATTACAATATATTTGATTGGAAAAATAACATTGAACCAAAAGGGGTAATAGAATGGCCACAAAGAGGAAATTTTAAAAAGCCACCAACTCAACTAGAATAATCAACTTGTTGTCCGTAATTGTTATAGAAACAAGTAAAAATAGTATCTATCATACAGGTCTAATAAAATGATAACCTAATCTAAAAGACACTTTGGGGTAAGTATTGGGGAAATCCCAATGGAATTGCCCCCAAATACCCTACAGGAACCTGAAATTACTTGAGGATGAGAAGGAAATACAGCAGAGTGTGTCAATTTTCACATGGCTACATACCTTGCCCTCTTGACTACCGCTGAGTTAAATTTAGGACGACCACAGTCTGAATTCATAAACTAAGTCTTCAGTTGCCCATCAAAAAAGAAGCTTTGCAAACAAAGCTATTTGGAGCACCAGTGCTAAGTAGTGTTGTAAAATGATGGCAGATAACAGAGGGATCCTCAACCAGCGAAGCTCTGAGTGGTTCTGACTTGGAAGAGAGGAAGCCAGCGCTCTGAGGGGTAACAGTACCTGTACATATGAGGGATCTCCACGTACAGTCCTGACAACAGTGAAGTATAGGTATGTACACGTTTCTCCCCTGGGACACTCCACTGCTCCATAAAGCCCCAAACTAATAGACAGTTTTAACATCTCATGTTCATAAAGGCAACTTCACTCAAAATTAACGCGGGCTATGTGTTTAGAATTTTCTTTTTTTAAAAACAAACAAACAAAAAAAACATACCACTTTTTAAATAGAAATGCTGATAATAGCTAACATCACTGTCATCTGCTGTCTAACCGCCCCACCAGGCCTCCACGCTGCCTTATGAGTTTGAGTGAAAAATAAAGGTCACAACCTAAAATTTAGCCATTTTTGGAATAAAAATAACAAAATCACATAGAAGCTCAACATTATGTCTCTCTGGAGGAAGCTCCCCAAGCCTTTCTCGGCAGTGCTCTGTTCTCTCCTGTTTCTGATGGTTCGCATCAGTGGTGTCCAGTCTGCAGAACTGGAAAACACCAAGACTATGTACCTGGATGCTCCCCAAATCCCGTCCCTAAATCCCCACGCCAAACTAAACATCATTCTAAGCTTTCGGAGGAAGGGGACAGGTATATTTTTAAAAGTGTGTGTGTGTGTGTGTGTGTGTGTGTGTGTGTGTGTGTGTTAAGCTAATTAATGCCTTTCCTGACGGAGTTTATTTTAAGCTATTGCCGTATCTTTTAATTAGCAGAAATACATATGATGCACCTTTGGCAGACCGAATGGGCAGGAACTGGTGAGATAGCAAAATGAAAAAACAACAGCCTTTCCTCTCCGTCTAATATGAGAAACCCTCCGGTTTCCATCTCCAGTCCTTTGGGGTATGAACAGCAAGAGAAGCTACTCAGCACACGGAGTCAGGGGCTGGCCCCCTCCACAGGCTCTGGGCACCACCACTGCCTCCCTCCTCTGCCCCCAGCACACCAGCCTCCTCTCAATCCCGCTCTCCCATCCTCACCCAGGTATGCCTTCTTCGCTCTGCTCCCGGATTCAATGGGCGACCCAATACCAGGAGAAACGAGCTTTTTTTCAGCACCACCGCCTGTCCCTCCACGCAATGGGCAATGGGCAACAAGTGTGCCCAGGGTCACCACGCGTCCTGCCTGTCGGTTGTTCCCTAGGGTTGACCCTCCTCCTTCGGAAACTAGCCCCCCCATCCCCACCCCACCCCACACACACACACAGACAAGGTGTCTCAAACCCACTCCCAAGGCAGATGCAAAACCTCCAGGCACCTGCAGGAGACAAGGGAGAGGCAGGGGATAGGTTTGCCTCCAACCCCAGATTATGACCCAACACCTAGGAGGGGAAATGAAGGTGGAAAAGGTCCGCTTGCAGGCAGAGGGGCATCAGCAACCCTCCCGGGACCCGCTGGGGCGGGAAGGCGCGGGGCGGGCGGCGGAGGGGGTCCCCGGGGTCTCACCTCCTGCGCTAGAGCCGGCTTTCTCCGGCGAGGCGCTGGGCAGCATGAGGCATGCAGCATTCAAAATGCTTTTTTTTTTTTTTTTTTTTTTTTTTTTTTTTTTTTTTTTTTTGGAAAAAAATGGACTTGAACCTTTGACACACACGCCACGGTACTCACTTCTTATTCAGAGACGGGCTGCGCGCTCCGAGCTGCACGGGCAGGCAT